ATGCGCCGATGGGGCTCCGAACCCGGAGGCTTTTTCAGCCCAAAGACGTCATGCGCCAATGGGGCTCCGACTCCGAAGACAGTCGGCCCATCTATAATTTCTATTTATATAATTAGGCCAGAAATTAGTGCATGAAGTGGCTGTGGCACGTATCAATTGGTATGGGGCCAAGATGCTCGGCCGGTTAGATTAATAAATCTGCCCTTGCCCCAGCCAGTACATGGACTTCAAGGCATTCGCCCATAATTGCTGTTTATATAATTTAGGTTGTTTTAACAAGGCAGAAATTAGTGCATGGAGTGGCTGCGGCAAATGTCGCTCGGCGTCCGTCATTTAGAGTTCAGTGTTAATGAAATTGCCTCAAGGCCACTGCAAAGATTTTAGAAACAAAATGCCTCAGATTCGTCGCTCCAGTGACTTCATTTTCTGTGCACAGACTCGTTTTAGAACGGTTTTGTTGCATGGGGTTACGTAAGTGTGATCGTCGAATGGAGCTTTTCTTCAACAGGGAAGAAGGTCGGACTCTGGTTGAGTCTGATATTGCGACGAATCGCAGCGGGGAAAACACTCGCACGGGAGGCAGGGTGCTCAAGAAACATCAGCCTTTAAGTCGTCAAAGAAGACCACCTCGAAAGGAGAAACAACGATGGCGAAGTTGTTCGCAACCGCGGTCAAGAAATAGGGCCGACGTAGCTCCGCGGCCGTTGAGTATTATTGTTTTCGTGGCGAATTCCTTTCTTGTCTTGGATCTTAGCCTTGATATTGTCTGTGGTGCCGAAGGTTTCCGCCTCAAGGGCGATTATCTCGTTAGGGTGAATCGTGGACTCGAGCGCGGTCAGATCAAAGCATTTTCAAGTTGCGGGTGCCCTCTGATCAACGGGCATTGACTTGGCGCTGCCGCTTGTACAACGTGATGTCGTATGAGAATAGATGTTTTAATGCTTCGAATGCGAATGGCGTTTTTCGCAATTACCGTTTAATTGAATAAAATGTTTCATTCCAAAGTTTATCTCGTTCTGAACTTTTGTATGTTTAATTTGAGCATCTTACTTTGAATGTTGGCACGTTTTGTCTTGTTCATGCGATTGTACTGGTTTCAGCCTACATATCTCTGCTTAGATATGTAAATATTTTCATTTTAGAAGGGCGCTCCGAATCGGGAGGCTTTATCGGCCCAAAGACGCCATGCGTCGATGGGGCTCCGAATCCAGAGGCTTTATCGGCCCAAGGACGCCATGCGCCGATGGGGCTCCGAATCTGAAGACTTAATTCGGGCAATCATGACATCCACGAAGGGCGCTCCGAATCTGGAGGCTTTATCGGCCCAACGACATCATGCGCCGATAGGGCTCCGAATCCGGAGACCTAATTTGGTTAATCGTGACATCCATGAAGGGCGCTCCGAATCCGAAGGCTTTATCGGCCTGAGAACGTCATGCCCCAATGGGGCTCCGAATCCGGAGACTTGATTTGGCCAATCGTGACATTCACGAAGGGCGCTCCGAATTCGGAGACTTTATCGGCCCATGGACGTCATGCGCCGATGGGGCTCCAAATCCAGAGACTTGATTTGGCCAATCGTGACATTCACGAGGGGCGCTTCGAATTTGGAGGCTTTATCGGCCCAAGGACGTCATGTGCCGATGGGGCTCCGAATCTGGAGTCTTGATTTGGCCAATCGTGACATTCATGAGGGGCGCTTTGAATTCGGAGGCTTTATCGGCCCAAGGACGTCATGCGCCGATGGGGCTCCGAATCCGGAGACTTGATTTGGTCAATCGTGATATCCACGAAGGGCGCTCCGAATCCGGAGGCTTTATCGGCCCAAGGATGTCATGCGCCGATGGGGCTTCGAATCCGGAGACTTAATTTGGTCAATCGTGATATCCACGAAGGGCGCTCCGAATCTGGAGGCTTTATCGGCCTAAGGACGTCATGCACTGATAGGGCTCCGAATCTGGAGACTTAATTTGGCCAATCGTGATATCCACAAAGGGCACTCCGAATCTGGAGGCTTTTGAACTAGATTGCAGAGTCAGTAAACAGGCGTCTTTGCATTATAGAAGTGGAAAGTGTACATGGTGACCCGCTCAGAACCAATATCATTTCCACAAGTCGGGTTTTATGATAGAACTCGTGCCTAATTCTCCATCAACCAGCCTTCTATCGTCCAAAAATACCATCAGGGGAAACTTTATCGGCGTGCAGCGGCGTAGCTGGATGCGTTGATCAGACGTCTTGAGAAGCTGCTACTGGTATCGCCTACAGCTTCCGTGGCTTCTTATCACGAAGCCGTCTGACTTCATCGAGACTCTTGATTTGACGCTTCAATGGAGTTGACCTGCGTCTTCATTGGTGTCTTTCCAAAAAAGAGATAGCATGCTTGTGTGGATTGCCGGGAACCCCAGATTTGCTCAACGTCATGTTCGGTCAGGAAGCGTAGCAGCTGATGATAGGTGCTTGGTACGGCTCGAATAATATGCAACCAAGTCCGCCCCATAATGAGGTTATACGGCGAAGGGAGCTTGACGACCAGGAATTCCACTTCCATCGTTTGGGAGCCCACCCAAACGGGTAACGTGATTTTCCCCAACGGATACTCTAGATTGGCATTGAAGCCGAACAATGGATGAGGAGCTGGAGACAGGTCTGATTCGTTGAAGCTGAGTTTGATGAAGGTCTCATAATACATGACCTCCAAAGTGCTCCTCTGGTCAAAGAGGACACGTTCAACGGTAAACTGGTTCACGTGTAGTTCAATAACCAATGGATCAATATGGGAGAGTGTTATGCCGATAAGATCGGAATCGTCGAAGATAATGCTCGGCGCTTGGTGGGACTATTTCGTTTGTGCGCGTTGCTCCTGGGGGGATGAATGGATTGCATGCACGGTACATGGCATTGGGAGACCGTATATCATATGTATAACGCCGAGGGGAGGTGACTCCTGTCGAAGGGCGACAGTTTTGATTGTGCTTTTCCGTACGTGTTGTTGGAGCCGACTATCTTGGACCAATTCCTCAAGGTGGTCTTTCAAGGCATAGCAGTTGTCCGTATCATGACCGTGATCTTTGTGATATTCACAACGTCTATCCCACCTTCTAGTGTCAGGAGGTCCCACCATCTTGGACGGCCATTTGAAGAATGGAAGATGTTAGATCTTGGGCATAATTGAGCTGATTGACTCTGACAGCTCCGTATATTTCTTGTCGGTGTGCTTTGTGCGCCTGCTATCGACCTGCAGTTGCTCATTGGCTTAGTGTGGGCATCGATCGCTGGATCGGCGAGAATCCCATCTCTTGTCTCGTTTAGCCCGTTGTCGTGGTTTAGGGCTTTGAGGTGGTGCGGAACTTATTGGCTGAGTGATTTCGGGAGGGGCTGTTTTGTTGACCACGTGTCTGGCTTTAACCCGCAAGGCTTCGTCTTTCACTTTGCAGTATTCCTCTACTTTCTTCATCAACCCCCAGACTGTTTTGGGGGGTCTTCTAGTCAAAGAACTGTGGAGGGCACTATCTGGGTGTAGTCCCATTTTGAAGGCAATGATGGCCATTGAGTCGTTGTAAGCGTCATCGACAAGGTTAAAGCATTCCCAATGTCGCGCCGAATAAGCTCTTAGTGTTTCTCCTGGTAGGATTTGCATTGCCCAGAGGGAGTCGGCTTGCTTTGGCTGAACTTCGTTGGTAATGAATCTAGCCCTGAAGGATTTCTGTAGTTGGTGGAAGGTTTTGATCGAAGCCGGCTCCAGTTTATAATACCACCGGACCGCCAATGGTCCCAAACTGCTGGGAAATATTCGGCACATGAGGGCCTCGTCGTCTGCATGCAATGTCATGGCCTGCTTGTAGTGGTCGGTGGGGTCTGATTTTTCGTCATACAAGGTGAACGACGATGCTTTAAATTTCTTTGATAGCGCTGCTTTTACGATCCGTCGTATGAAGGGGTCGTGTTGGTCATCGTCCGAACTTTTCCTTCTTCGCTTTTACATTGTACGGGGACTTTCTTCGGAAGAACTGGTGGTTTCATGTCGTCCTTTCTTCCTGGGCTCCGGGGATAATGAGTCGGAGTCGCTATCAGTGTCTTGTCGTGCTCGAGGTTGTCGACCACCTGCCTTCGGAGATCGTTCCGAATTTAGGTGCGCAGCTTGTTTGGACTTCGCCATTTCCAAGGCCAAATCTTCACGAAGATGTTCATTCTCAACGATCATGTTCTCCAGACTCTGTTCATTTTGCTTTGCTTGTTCCATGATCGCCTGCATTGTCTCGTGCTCCGAAGTCGAGGGTGAGGCGAAATTCAAGGCACGTCATGCGGCGATAGTTTCTGGTCCAAGCAAGTTTGTTGGAGTAGTTTCATCGTGAGGTATAGGGTCAATAGTGACTGTCGAAGGATCTTCCGTCACGCTCGCCATGGATGTGCTTGAGTATTCCCACAGATGGCGCCAATTGTGGGTAAGTGGTTTGGAAATACTCTTCGAGATCCTGGGGAATGCTCGTGATCCTCTTCTGGTCACCTGAAAATGAATAAACACTCCGGTTAGGGGTGCCGGAATTAGCACTCCAATGGGCAAGTTAGTATCTACACTCGAGGAGGCTTGTATTCTAAGCTAAGCATAGTAATTCTCACATACCTCTTTAGGACTGAAGATCTTGTATTTATAGTATTCTCTAGGGGCCCTGGGGCCTGGTCCACTCCTAGTCCTTGCCTTGTACTTCTACACGGCCCTTGTTTTACTGGCAGGGATGCCGGCTCTTTTATTCGGCCCTAAAATTGGATAGGGTCAATGCCGAATAGAAGTTATGTTCTGGACCGAATTGGTCCGCTCCTGCTGATCCAAAATTATTCGGCTCCCACACTTTCCAAACACAGTTTCCAAATTAATAACACAGCAATTTGAAGTAATTTCCAAATTCACACAAAAAATTAATTAAAATCAATTAACATAGAAAATTAATTAAAATCAATTTCATCAATTTCACCAATCAAGTAAGATTAATTAAAATCAATTGCATACTGAAGTGACCGAATAAGTAAGATCCCTTTGACTGGAACCCAGTACCTTCCCCAAAATCAAACACCAAAAATGTTTTTAATAAATTCCAAAACTGAACCCCAAAATTGATTATCTTTTCAGATGTGAATTTGTTTTTTTACTTTAAAAAAATTATAGTAAAAGAAAGAAAAAGAAAAAAAGAAAAAACTAAATTTTTTTTTGTTTACCAGTGTACTTGTCCAGGGAGGGCTGAATCTCAGAGCCTCCATTGAAGTACTTAATGTGGTCGAAAGCCCAAGTAGGAGCATAGTTTCTACCAAATGGAACATCAACATGCTTCCTGGGTGCAGCACCCATTTTTCCAGACACCATCATCAGACCAAGCGCTAGAAGGACCACACTCCATAAGTGAGAAGCCATTTCTCTCTGCACTGCACAACCAAAAACAAAGCCATATTTCATGAGAATGCAACATCATCATCAACACAAGTAGCATATTTCCTTCTAACTACTACAACCCAAACAATAGGAAATCAAAAACAAGAATGAGGAAGACTAGAGAAAATAGACTACCCGAGAGCCGAGAGAGAGAGAGAGAGCAGTTGGTATGAGGAAAAGGCAGACTACAAAGCCCTTTATGTAGGGTTAGATATCTACTACAAACAAATATTATTCCCCCTTGCTGGGACAGTGACTACTCTCACCATGGGAGATGGAGGTGGGTTTGTGAGATTTGGAGACATGGATGATGAAGAAGGTGGGTTTGTGAGATTGGAGGTGGGTTTGTGAGATTTGGAGGTGGGTTTGTGATTTGGAGACATGGATGATCGATTAAGGTGGGTTTGTGAGATTTGGAGACATGGATAATCGATTGAGAGGGTGATTAGCAAACGGCGGGACTGAGAGGGTGATCGATTAAGAGGGTGATCGATCAAAGATTTGGGTTGTACGAGTGAGAGAGAGAGAGAGATGAGTGAGATCAAGAGAGCGGTGGGGGGTAGAAGTGAGAGTGAGAGTGAGAGGGAGAGGGGGACAAAGTCAAAGTAAGATGGAGAGGGTTGGATCATTCTGGATGATGAAGAGAGGAAGATGATTATACAGAGAAGTGAGAGTGAGAGAGAGAGGGAGATAGAGTAGAAGTGAGATGGAGAGGGTTGGATCATTTTGGATATGGATCTCATCTGTTGGAAATCCTTTACGTGGACGGTGGTGATTTATCTTGGGAAGGCAAAAGAGCCGTTGTGCTCTTTTGGCCTGGCAAAAAATTAAAAAAAATTCAAAAAAAAATCAATTATAAATAAACGGTCATGTTTTTTTTTTCCAAATGGTCATATTTTACATTTCTATAAATAGAAACCTCAATCTCAATTTCATTCACAGCACATGTTTCTTTTCTCCTCTCTTTATCTCAATTGCATGCTCATTTTTGGGGAAGAATTTTTGAAAATTATTGCTCGCTGCAGAATGATCACTCAAGAACACAAGTGTCTATCTCATCTCGATGCGGTATAATCATGAAATGTTGCAACAAATTTTGTAGGTGTCTATCCAAGTGGGGCGTCACAAGTTGATATAGTAAGATTTCATTTTCATTTATTATGTTAGTTTTTTTATTTTGTCTTACATAAAAATTAACTAATTAATTAATTTAATATTTTATTAATATAGATGCTTCAAGCAAAACTGTTATACCATCAAGATGAAATAAACATTTTCTTTTTGAACATTGTTGACCAATCTTGCAAAACAATATCAGGTGGCAAGATGTAACTCCTACGAACACCGTGAAGTCAAGAATACATACATCGTTTTCCCCTAATTCAACCCCCGATTCCCCTATGGATAACTGCATTTCTCTTGAAGATGACACAAGTCCAAGTGTTGGTAACAACCCAACTGTTGGTGAGGGCAGGGTCTTTGCAAAAGGTAAAAGGCCTATGGGTAGAAAAGCAGTAAAAAGAATTATTTCGGAAAAATCAAGTCGTTCAAGCTGAAGTTCAAAAAATGAGCACACAATTGGACACATTTAACGAATACCTTGCTGAGAAGGAAAAGAAAAAAAGATGAAAGAGAAGAAAAAAGGATTCAAGCACTACAGGAGATGAAAGAACTTGAAATGAAAAAACATGACTTTAAGATCAGAAGACAAGAACATGAGATGAAAAAAGAAGAACATATGTTAATGACTACGGACATTTCTCATTTGTACCCTCAGACAAAAGCGTGTTACACAATGCGAAAAAATAAGACTTTCGCGAAGTGGTCCTCAAATGTTAGCAGCACAAATTACTATTTCCCCCTGCATCTTGATGAATAATTACGGGATAATGTAATGAAATTTTCGCCAAGTGGTCCTTATATTTTTATTTTGTAATGAAATTTCATATTTATTATTTTTTTTGAGTATTTTCTACAAAAGAATGTAATATTATTTTTGCAATGTATAATGCAGCAAAATAGTTTCGTATAATTTAATTTTTTCAATAAAGTATAATGAGAAAATAAATATATTTTTTCAAATGAAGGCAATAAAAAGATAAAATATATTTATTTATTTATTTTTCCAATTTTTTCAATTTTTTTTTCATTTTTTATATTGGTCTAGTCGAGAATAATATAAATATATAATTTTTTTTTTACAAACAGTTAAAAAAAAAGTCACAAAAGACAAAAAAAACAAAAACAAAAACAAAAACAAAAACAAAAAAAATCACAAAAAAACCTATATCCAAACAACACTTACAAATTTGAAGGCAAAGTTGGTTAGGATTTGCCAAAATAGCAAATGATCATTAGAGCATCATTGCTATAATTTGGTAAAATAGTACTATTCATTGCCAAATTATAGCAATAGCAATGACAATATAGCAATAACCATTGGAGATGCTCTTACGTGTATCATGCAAACTTGTGCCCTATCTACCTCTGCTATGACCATATTTGATCACTATTACAAAATTATAAATATATCACACTTTTTATGTGTGATTTATGTTATTTAATCCTACGTTTTAAGTGTGATCTTTGAGAATATGATTAAAAAGGATAATTTTTAATTACACGTTTTGAGTGTCATTAAAAGATGATCCCATCACACGTTTTGCGTGTGATAATAATGGGACACTTTTTCATAAATTCATTTTTACCTACTTATGTTCCATTTGGTCCATGTTATTTTCTTATATTTCAATAAGTCCTATGGGTGACATAGTTACCAAAATACCCCTAATAATATTCACATTTACAGTGCAAATGTTTCGTGATGTGAATGTTCACACTGTCAATGTGAACATTCATATTGTCAATGTAAATGATAATATGTCAATGTGAATATTTACATTGTAAAATATGAATGTTCACATCACCAGATTGCTAATCGTTCAAAAAATATTCGTAAGGATATAAATGTTCATAAAATACCTTAAATATGATAATTATGATTTGATAGATCAAATGTTTAAATAATAGGACTTATTAAAACACAAGAATATCTTATGAACTAATTGAGATACAAACACTTGAAAAGAGATTTTTTAATAAATCTTCCGATAATAAATATTTAGATCACATTTTTTAAGTGTAATTAATAACATTTAAATCACATCTTTTAAGTATGATTAATAACTAATAAAACCTGTGATGATAAACATTTAGATCATAAATTTTAAGTGTGATTAATATGTAATAAAACCTGTGATTAATAATGAGATAAGGTCACACGTTATATACATTTTTCATCACAATTAATGCGTATAATAAAAAAAAAGAGTTCGACATATTTGAAGAATAATTAATATTATTTTTGTACGCGCATTTGAATAATGTAATACACGCTATATATTATCCTTTGAATCACAACCACATATTGAATGGAATAATGTCATATATTTCATAAATGAAAGTTAAATGTTCAAAAGTATATACAAAGGAATTAATAAATAGTTTTTAACTGTGATTACATATATTAAAAAAAAAAAAAAAACTTGAAGTACAAAGTTCTTGAATTCATTGATCATATTTTGTATCTCTCCATGCAATTTCTGACCTGAAAAATGAAAATACAAATTAATTCAAAGACCGCTTCAAGCATAAATAAACTTATTATTTATAAAGACTGTTCTAACCTTAGAAAAAATAAAGTCGGACATTTTCTCATCGCACTGACTCATTATCTCCTTCATCAACAGAAAATGAAGAATCATATTGACTGTTACTAGTAGAAAATGTTTGGATTACCATATAGATATGACATATGCATAGAATCAACAAATCCAAAATGAAAATCTTCAGCGCATGATCAAATATTTTAAAGTCGTAAAACCAAAATAAAAGCCAACTATTGTTTAAATATAAACATAAAAAAAAAAAGAAAAAAGAAAAATACATCACATGGCATTAGAAACGATATAAGCCCAAACAGTGCTTGTGTGCATGTCTAAGCCTTGAGGAATGCTTACAAAGGTGTGAAGTGATTCGATCATCTGCCCTTGTTCTTCAGCTCTCGCTAGTACAACATTAACTTTGGCAGCAGCCTCATCAGTGTGTTTCTGGAGTTCTACCTCAAACTTCTCTTGAAATTACAAAAAAAATCAATGAGACACTTCAAACAAGTCTATTGACACAAATGCAAAAGCAATGGGGTGCAGTACAATGAATGAGATAATATTGCAAACAAAAAAACGTGCTTTAAAACCTTCAGCTTCATTTCTCTATTTTCAATCTGGTTAGAAAAACTTCGCACAAGGCTTTAGAGCTGGACATTCTACTCAACTAACCCATTGATATCCTTAAATGTCAACTGTAGCAAGTTTTATATTCAAAGAAGCATCAACATTTTGTCACTAAGTATTGAATTGCAAGAAAGGCCCATTTAAAACTGAGGAACAAAAAATCACAATTTACCAACCTTTCAGAAATTACATTTTCAGCATCAGAGTTAGCATTTAACTCAACAACAAGAAAAGTGGTATTGTAATCAGCATAATCATGACCCACAGATCCACAATGAAGTTGTACATCTCGGCATTATTTTAGAAGGATCATCACCTACGATATTAACTTATTAATAAGAGAAGTGTTGACAGGCATTAATATGAAAAATAATGAGTTACAATCCAATGTGGTTCAAAACTATACAAGTTTGTGATGCTCTCCCTATTACCTGTTTCTAGAGATCAACAATCTCCTTCTGTGTTATAGAGTAGTTTTGTTCACACCTTCTCGAATCAGCCTACGAAGTAAATATATAAGCATCAATGATAAAAAAAACCCTTGACCATGATAACATCACAAACCTTCAATTCCTGGATGGTTATCTTCAAATTAGTTTGTTCAGAAAGATAATGCTGTAGTTTTTGGTTTACAACAGAGTATGCTTTAACCAATCTCTTATATTCCACTATGTAAGTGACAACAATGCAATGGAAACATCAATATGGCACTAAGAAACAAATCAAAAGAACAAAGTTTAATTTGCATAATAATTTTTTAAATCATATTGCTTTTAGCTAAATAAGAACAACATTTCTTCTGCTTCACCCATTTCTTTTTTCTTATATAAGTAACAAAAACATTATTAAAAAAGAAAAAAAAAAAGAACAATAAAAGGTACAGAGAGTTCAGTGGTGGACAAGAAGTCCATCAAACATGAAAACAAAATTACATGTCACATACCGCACTCCAATCTCTACTACTCAAAACAACGGAATCACCATGGAGCGAGGTGAAACAAAAGGAGTGTCCGGGGGGGGAGGGGTTGGATACCAGTTCTTCAAGCCATGAAAGAATGGTGAAGCTCAAGGAATTCTTAGTGTTTGTGGATAATATACCACAATCTATGGATCCCAAAGGTTTGTTTGTCTTGTTCTCCAAATTTGGGGTGGTTAAAGATGCTTTTATTCCAAATAAGAGAAGACAATCAATGTGATCGAGGTTCAGCTTTAGGAGATATGACTGTTTGGTGGTGGCTGATGTGGTGATTCAAAAAGCAAATGGGTTATGGGTTGACAATCAGGGCCTCAAAGTGAAAATGACAAAGTTTGGTAGGGTGGTTCAACCAAGAGGGGGTCAACCAGCACTTCAAGGGTGGAGAAAAGGGGCAGTCAATAATGTCAGAATTAACAGTAAGACAAGGATGGAGTCACGATCTTACGTAGACATTGTGAAAAGGAATGAAGGTTGGGGAGGTAAGTAGCTTATTATAAGAACATAGGAGGTTAGCAATGGTTGGTTATATGAGAGTCTAATTGTTAAGTTGAAACCAAATTGCATATTGTCAAAGTTCAAACAGGAATGTGAGAAACAATAAGTGAAAGATTCTGTATTTCGTGAAGGTGGAGGGAAATTG